CAGAACAGCCTTCTGCTTCCCATCGGGCTGCTGATAAACCTGTTAGGCTTTATTCTGTAATAACAATCGCCTGGATGTACTTTATCCCTTACATAATACACAGTGCGCACAGTGCTTAAATGTATCACGCATTTGGATGGGTAAAATTTAGAACCCAAATTCGGAGCATGGGACAACATGCTGTACTTGGGCACATGGCATAACATTCCTACTATTATATGTGTATTATATGTATACTAACTTAAATGCAGACAACTTGCACTCTTTAAATTTCTACTGAAACTGTGCCAATTCAGTCAAAAGCTCTATTCATTTTACTCAATTACTCAATTTAGCTCTAGACAGGCCCGTGCAGAGACTGTCCAAAGGACATGTGCAGGATAATTTTTTTGAAGACCGGGTGGGGGGGGAGTGTTGCGGGGGCACTTTTGATCATTTTGGAAGGGCACTTTCTATCCAAGACTAAAAAGGGCATGTGCACTGCACAGGTTGAGCCCTATGTGTGCACGTGCCTAGCTCTAGATGTTAGTTTACTTATGACATGGTATACATGCATACAGTATATACTTCAACATTGCTTAAATATACCTCAGTAAATGAACTTAACATTTTAGCTGTTCTTCAGCCTATTGTGTTTAAAAATGTTCTTGAATAAATGGATGCACCTTCCTCTATTCACAGATGTACTCTTTTTGTCAAAGGCCAGTTGCGTGGCAACATGTGTTCCTTCTAATTTCCTTAATTGGGTTTTAAAATTGGCTGGTTGGCCATAGCAACCATTTTGTAATTTAATATTCTCCTGTTGCACATGCAGAATGAATGTTCAGATAGAAAGAGGCAATGCACTTTTCCTTCCCTGTTTGGAATTTATACATTCAATCCTCAATCTTTGGTTGTTTAAAAAGTGTAGAAATTATGAATTAGGTTGATCAGCCCATTAATAAGTATGTTAATGAAAATACAAAGTATATTAATCATGACCTAATATTGCAATATTATAACAGAAAGATAATTAAAAATAAAAAAAACTACAACTCTGCAGAAAGTGTTGTGTAGTCCTATAGAAAAATGTGTGCTTGTGTGTGATACATGCATCTTAACACCTTCCCCTCACACAGTGAATAGCACTGCTCAGTGTGCCTCACCATACACTGTACACGAACATCACAGCTAATGTCTGTTGTTTTATTTCCACTATGTTCATCAGACAAGCCAGACTCATCCAGCGAACACTAATAAATATTGCATTTGCAGTCTTTGATATTAGTCAAAGGTGTTTATGAAAGGGATAAAGTACATCAATGCGTTTGTTATCGCAGAATAAGGCTAATTAAGACTTATCAGCAGGACAATGTGAAGCTGTTGTATAAGACTGAATGGCTTTATTATGAAAAAACAACCACCTAGATTAGAAGTACTTCATCCTGTTTGTTACACGGCTGCTTGCCGCAGTCATAAATTAAATAAATAAAAGCACATAAGAAGCAGCGAGGAATAATCAGATGCTCAAGACATAATCTTTAAAATAATGACATATTTAAAAATTTGAAAGTATATGAGAGGTTTGTGATACAACAATCACAGTGAAGCATTCATTGAATCCTTCCACAGAGCAAAACAATTCATCACCACACAGTTGAATAATGAATGGGCACAAACAAAAATATAATTTGTATATTTTTCATGGAAAAAAAAAATCTTTTTGAGACAAATTTAATTTGCTATAATTTTTATCTTAATTTGAATTATCTATAAACAAGAATAATAAATGGCATTTAAGGTGAAGCACTTCAAAACAAGTCCGCTATATGCACCGGAATCCACATTGTCTTGAGGTTGTGTTGGTTTGTTAAATAAAATAACAATCTAGCATACATAAAATTTAAGTGAAATATTCACAGTTTCATAGAAGCATATAAACTGTTTTAACTTTTAATGACAAATTTGAATAAGCAGGAAATGCTTCTACAATGTATTCGCAGCACTAAACATGTTCCCAGATTACCTCAGAAGAACAAACTCTGTTGGATGGATGAGAGAACTCTGAAACCGAATCATTGTGAGAATGGAGATGTCTGCATATTTGTACCAGTCTGTCAGATACAATTGCTTAAAACACCTTAATATTTTAGAAAAAGTTAGTTAAAGTTTACATAACCAATGATTGATCTTATCCACCTGCGACCCACCTTTAAGTAAATTAGCAGCCTGTTTTTTGATTATCTAACCAGCGGATAAATGGCAGCAACCTATTGCGCAGTGCTACCCATGTGATAGAACTCGTCGTGAAGGATGAGAAAGAAATCCTCCTGAAATCATGACAAATTTGTGTGATCTGACTGGGGCTTTAGTTGCCATTTCCACTAGGTGTCATGTTTATGTTCTAGGTGTGTAACTTTTAAAAATCTGATTACTATTGAATTCTTCTTTCAAATGTAGATGAGAGGTTATCAATATGTTAATTAACCTCACCCTGATTGTGGTAATTTGCATAAGGTCACAGCTTATTTGCATGAAAAGGAACTTTTTTTCATTGAGTTTTGTTCAGATGCACTTACTTTTGCTATTGCAAATCATTAACATTCAGAGACCTTTAGTCACTCTTTTAATTTCCCATAGAGACATCATTTTGAACACAATTAGCAAGATTTTCATACACGTTGTTTCCATCAAAAATTATATATATATATATATATAAAAAAAAAATAAAAAAAATAATTAAAAAATAAATAAATAAAATAATATATATATATATATATATATATATATATATATATATATATATATATATATATATATATATATATATATATATATATATTTCAGTACTGAGTAAAAAATTCCCCACCACCCACGTGAAGTGGCTTAAAGTGGTGCTATGATGCATGTTACCGAAAGGTCCTTGAGTTGAAGAATATGAATGAAGATCACCTGTCTTTAAATGTGTCAGTCAAAGCTCAATCCTTTCATCATCTCTCTGAACTTATTCTTTAGCTGCAGATGAGAGGCCAGTGTGAATGTAGAAGGTTACTAGAAGAGAAAAAGAAAAATTGTTCTGGTTACACTGACAGCAAAAACACAATGCCAGTGACATCAATGATGTTGGGCTTTGAATGAGTTTGAAAATAAGAGTTGAGTGTGAG